TACATTGGGGTCCAATAAAGCTTAGCACCCATAGTTTTAAAATGAATAAGATTTCAGATGGAGGGCCCATTATGAAAAGCTCACAACTCATGACTCTCAGACTTTCCTCTACATATTCCAGAGCTAAGACAGAACACCTTTAAAAAACAAAAAGAAGATACAAAGAGTTAAAAGGAAGATCCTGACTCAGATCTTTCACCAACTAGTCACTCTTATCAGTACAATATAGCACTGGTGGCCAAAATGTGACTACATGATTTTTGTGTGTATGGCTGCTACTACGCAAAATGTGAAACAGGGAAATGAATCCTGATTTGCATTTACCATAAAAAAGAATTTAAAGCCAAGAGAGATTGAACTAAGACAATCTTTAAATAAATATATATATGGATATCCAAGTAGTCTCATAAAATTAAAAGGTGATTAATGATAAAATAAAAATTGATTCCATGCTTTTCTACCAATACCAGGAAAAATAGTAGAGAACAGAAAATAAAACTAAGAAATTCCTATAGAAGCCCATTAAGGGAGGAGCAACCACGAACACCATACTCTGCACTAAAGCATTGCTAAGAACTAACTATGGGACATACACAACGATGAAATGTCTCTTACTTGTCCATGAGACCAGCTCTCCATTGAATATGTTAGGAAAAATGTTGCCCAAAAGAGAAGGCGCCCTTTCTTAAAATGGGGCCTTGAACACTTGGTCCTACTCTTTGGTCTAGGAAACCATGGGAAACTCTAGAGAGGTGACATGAACTACAGAAAGGACTACTACTGGTCACAAATTGGGATATGAGACACATACATACACATGGATAGCATCTTTCGAAAGTGTACATTTTGTGTACAATATTCATTCTTATTTTGAAAGTATAAAAATCCCAACTATTATAAAGTGCTTGAGAATTCAATTATGCTTGACGTGTAAGAAAATATCAAGGCCTTTTCAATCTGCCATCTGCAGTGGGACCACTGACAGGATGCAGATTTTTGTGAAAACCCTTCCAGGGAAGACCACCACTCTTGAGGCTGAACCCTCGGATACAATGTGGATCAAAGACCTAGACATAAAATCTCAAATTGTAAGAATCCTATAAGAAAATGTGGGAAACATTTAGGCACACTGGAGTAGGCAATCAATTTTTGGTCAATTCTCCAAAAGTGAATGCCATAAAAGATAAGATAGATAAGTGGGACCTCATCAAACTGAAACACTTCTGTGAAGCAGAAGAAACCATCAAGAGAGCAGGGAGACAACTCACAGAATGGGAAAAATATTTGTCAACTGTCTATCTGACACGGGCCTAACATCCAGAATCTACAAGGAACTCAAATGTGCCAAAAGGAAAAGAAACCAAACAACCCTGTTAGAAAGTGGGCAAAAGATATGAGCAGATGCTTCTCAAAAGAAGATATATGAGCAGACAACAGACACATGAAAAAATGCTCAGTCTCACTAATCACCAGAGAAATGCAAATCAAAACCACACTGAGACACTACCGAACTCCAGTAAGAATGGCCCTCATGAATAACTCAAAAAACAGCAGATGCTGGCAAGGATGTGGAGAAAAAGGGATGTGTCTACATTGTTGGTGGGAGTGTCAATTAGGACAACCTCTGTGAAACAGTGTGGCCATTCCTAAAAATCTAAAAATCAACCTTCCATATGACCCAGCAATCCCCTTTATGGGAATATAACCAGAGGAACTCAAATCATTCTATGAAAAAGATACCTGCACACACATGTTTATCACGGCATTATTCACAATAGCAAAAACATGGAAACAGCCGTGCTGTCCATCAAAAGTGGACTGGATAAAGAAAATGTGGTATGGATACATGGAGTATTAGGCAGCCACACAAAGAAAAACAAAGTTATGGACTTGGCAGCAATTTGGATGGATTTAGGTTCTATAATACTCAGTGACCTATCACAGAAAGAAACATCTGAGTACCGCATGTAGTCGCTTATAAGCGGATCCTGAACATTTATCATAATACTACAAGAAAGGGATAGGCAGTAGTGGGACACGCCGCGGGAAGAGGGGCACACAACATCAGTAAGGGTATGTGATCTCAAACCAGGCGAAGTAGAGACCAAAGGAGACCCAAACTTTACCTGTATGATCACCACAAGTGAACCTAACTCTGAATTGTACCCCACATCTTTAAAATAAAAAAGTAAAACATTTAAAACTACATTTGCCTCCTTTTTCACTTACCAAATTGATAAAGAATCATAATAGTTAGATTTCCCAGCATCTGGGGAAAGGAACACTCTCACGCTAGTAAGTGTATAAATAGCTACATGCTTTCATTTGCAACATGTATTTAAATCCCTAAGCGAATTCTTTGATTTGGTAAGGATTTTGTAAAGATGTTTAATGTAGCATTGCCTAAAATGGCAAAAAATTCAAACCAACCTAATATCCAAAATAGGGCATGATTACATTCATAGGAAAACATAATGGTGGTCCTAACTACACTGTTTATACATATAAGTAACATAACCCAAACCAAAGGATTTAAACAGAAACTATGTAGGGTTTCATCACTGCTGTCCCTACTCCCTGACTCCCTGTTTTATTCCTTGGATACTATTCATTCAATGACGGAGTTAAGGAAGACACGGAGCACATTATAAATGAAGAAGGAGCACTCTGATAGAGGTAATTTCTTAGTAATAATAACAAAAAAGGAAAAAGCAAACATTTTGTAAAAGTATTAGGAACAGTAGAGAGAAACACATATTTGTGAAGTTCTGTTAACCTTAAGATATAATTTTCCTGTGACAAGGAGCTTTGGTGGAGTGGATAAGTCAAAGAAACCTGTAGAAAGAGAACAAGTCACACCTATAAGGTCTATGAGAGGACGCAGTAACCTAGGAAGGGAGCCACTGCTAGGGTGGTCTCACTTGCTGTTGAAATTCCAATGGATGCACAGGCCCATTAAACAGAAAGGCAAATAGAAATGTTCAATTTTCTGTAGCGAGGGAATCCAGAAATTACCACCAAAGTGAGAAAAATGTGTGTGCCACATCCTAGCTCCTCCTTAAGGATTTCTGTTGAGGCTTCAGTCCTGCAGAATTTCATTAATGGGGAAAAAAAAAATCAACCAGTCTCTTTTTGTGGAGGTCTAGGTGGGAATTAACTATAAAACTCCTTCGTCTTTCTCCTCTTAAACTAAAATGTGGGTTTCTTTAGAGCAGGTAGACATAAAGGAACAATTACAACAAAATTCCCTAACATCTACATACAGAAAAACGACTGTCTTTAGTCCAGTGTGATACAATGCCTCCAAGGAAATCTTTGGTAAATTAAGAATTAGTTCAAGAAAGAAAACTACACATTCTAGGTTATTTGCCATCCAAAGACAAATAAGTCATAGACACTATGAAATGCAGTATAATAAAATTCAACAGGTGACCCACTTGAAAAAGCTGACAAAAACCACTTGCATGAGAAGTCAAAGATAAATACTATTTCAGCATTACGGATATCTTCTATGTTAAAGAATGACAGTAAAATAAATTACACGTGCAGATTGTTTGAATTACTTCACAAGAGTCATTGGTGCACAGAGTCCTATTAAAGATAATAAATCTTTAAAAGCCCCACAAATTTCATATCTTATAAACAATACATTTTTCCAGCAAAAAAGTGATATATATGATAGGTAGTTTTTCTGATAGACAACACAACCTACAACGTGGCTGAAAGTTTTGACGCTTTGTTTTTCTCACCTAGAAAATCAGGAGATGGTTCTAAATCTCTAAGGTGTTGTTCAGCTGTGAAATTCTAATTCTAGGACTCCAATTCTAACAGGGCTTCAGAAATTTAAAATAAGAACAAAAGATACACATTTTTCTCCCTACCCCATATCTCTTGTTTAAAGTCTCCATGAGATACCATGGGGGTTGCAGACATGGGTAATGAAGCATAGTACATAAATACAAAACAAATTATGTTTAATGTCTTTGTTGATGTGGGTTTGTGTTTATGACAGGGAAAAGCTATTAGTAATATCATTAATGAAAATCCTATTATTTTTCACATTAAACTCTAATTTATTAAAATGGGACAACTCTGATGAGAATTATCATTCTAGGTAGTCATTAGCCAGAAGGTGTGCCCTTGGTTGGAATTTAGTTTTGCTTTATTGAGAATTCATGCTAAGGAAGCTTGCTGAGTGTATTTGTTCTTGGTAGGTGTGTTAGCCAAAAGATTTGCCTAGATGATGATGCTTGGAAAAGGTAAGATGTGTGGGTTTAACAGTTTTGAAAATGAACTGCAAGGTCTTTGTAAAGACATTTTTATTCTACCACCTATACAAAAGGAAAAAAATGTTTTCTAAAAAGGATAGTCCCTATTTTTATTAGGAAGATATCTTCAATGATATACTGCTGAAGAATTTCTATGCCACTGCCCCTGCTAGTCTAAACTATCACAAGCCCAATAACATCTGCTTTGGTGATCTGAAAACACAAATCTCTCCAGAGGTAAACAGTCCTTCAAACCGACTCAGAGGATCACATGCCACATTTCTCATGCTGCTGAGTCACAGACACTCTCTCCACCAGGCCAACGAATCTTTTGTTTCTTAAAATTATAGGCACTTTAAACATTACCATCCTGCCCCTTTGCTGCACTTAAAGAGGTTTGGATCTGCTCCATGGTATTCCTTTATTCTCAATGGAAGAGTACTTCCAATTACTGACCCTTAAGAAGATCAAAATCTTTCTTCATTTAAAAATCAAATGGGTAGAAAGTTACAAAAGGAGTTTAGCACACAGTACCCAGGATGATGAAATATTTGTTATAATAAAACCACCTGTCAGCAGAAAGCCACTCAAATAACATCCTTCTAGAAATACTCAAATCTATAATTCAGAGAAAGCTCTAATTCAAGAGTAAAAGTGTTTTAAGATGAAAACTACAAAAATGAGTCTAGAATCTACCCACCCACCAGACTCCCCACTGTAGCCCATACTTACCTTTCTCGAGGAACAGCAAACCAGTACTCTGGTTGCTTTCTCCGTTTCCCGTACTGCTGGACCATGGCTGCAGTGTGAGTGGCAAAGGATTTTCTCATTGGCTTTCCCACTTTGATACACAGGAACATGGGCGGTGTCTTGCTTTTTTCTTCTTTTGAAGGAAGTATATCTGAATCATACATGAAAAAACCTTCCTTAATACCCTCAACACCGATGATGGTAGGACTTTTCAACTTACAAAGAATAGTGTCCAACCCTCTCCTAGTCAAAACACATGGCAGAAACTTTTAACTGTATCATACTAGGACTAACAATATTTTCAGACCTTCTTTTGCACAAAAGGGAAAAGCTCTGGATGTTTCAGGCTGGATTACATCACACATATGAGATGCTACATACTGAAAAGAAACAAAAACTAACAGAATAACAGATCACAGATCGTAAAGAATTGTGACAATCCACAAGAATACATATGAATGAATGGCAGTGGAGGGCCAATTACACCATAATGCAACTCAGTTTAGAAGGGAAATCTTTTCAAAAACATTTTAAACTTTAGATTTAGGAATTCAAGTTTAAAAAGGAAAGTTATTTAAAAGATTGTTAAGAAGTAAACTACTTTTGAAGTAGAAATCTAGAAATCAATGCCATAGTTCAAATTCCAAAAGAGGCACCCTATCCTGCAAATTTTTCCTCCCAACTATTAATGTTATCAGCAAGAATACAATCTACCGAGAAAACATTGTTCGCAGTAATAATTGTTAATAATTGTACTAATTTTTATTTTTATTTTTTTGAGTTGGAGTCTCACCCTATCACTCAGACTGGAGTGCAGTGGCCGCTCCCGGCCACTGCAGCCTTGACCTGCTGGGCTCCGGAGATCCTTCCGCCTCAGCCTTCCAAGTAGCCGGAACTACAGGCGCACGCTACCACGCCTGGCTAGTTTTTGATTTATTGCAGAGACCAGATCTCACCAAGTTGCCCAGGCTGGTCTCAAACCCGCGGGCTCAGGCAATCCACTCACCTCGGCCTCCCAAGCGCTGGGATTATAGGCTGAGCCACCGAGCCCGGCCAATTGTACTAATTTTTGCATTAAATGTGCAAGTTTTAGAAAGGCAATTATCCGAGGGTATAATAAAGGCATTAAAGGAAAACAGCTTACCTTCAATGGGTACCTGAATTCTCTTTAATAGCCACAATTGAATTTCAGATTTATTGTCCATTTGTGCGCCTTGACAGCTGTTGTCCAGAGTGGATTCCAAAGAGGAGTCTAGAGACTCTTTAATCCTATTTTCTTCTGTAGATGAGTCCAGTTTCATTGGAAGGGGCACTCTTTCTTTCTCCCAGGCTTTATCTGGCTCTTTATTGCCCTCAGGTGGGGGAACACCTATCTGGGGTAGAGACCTACTAAGGGTGATGTCTATTCCCACTGGTTCAATGCTTTGGCCATCACTTAATTCTGCCTTCTGCAAAATTCCAGATACCTGTGACTCTTCTTTATTCTTATTTAGGTAATACTCAATGAGCTTAACTTTATCTAGATCTTCATGTATGTTCAGTGTGTTTTCCACCTGGCTTTCCGGGGAACCAGACTGCTTGTCCATTTCTGGCATTATATCTTGCTTCTCACAGGTTTCTAAATCTAAGGCCCCCTTCAGTTCCACATCCTTCCCTGTTCCCGAAAAGTTCAGGGCTGACTGCACCTGCATTTCCATCGCAGAATTGATTATTTGTGACTCAGTCTTCCTTTGCTCCCCTGGGTCAAGAGAAAGGCACTCCTTCGAAGGATCTCTTTTGTCCATTCCACTATCCATTTGAGAAGAAAGTTCTTCCAAGTCAACGAAGTCATCATCTTCCCCTATAAGGGAGTTTTCTTTGGCTGTAGTTTCAAATGCAGCTTGAGGGTCAGCAGGTTTCTTGCTGAGCTCAGACACGGTGGGAGAACCACAGGTTGTCTCCTTAGAGGATTCCAGTTTCTTTAATTTTTCTGACACGGGGCTGCCTGAGGGCTTCATATGTGTGTATTCTGTTGACTTCTCCAAAGGTCCTGCTGACTTGGAATCTAAAGTCACGGTTCTCTCTCCATTTTGCTGTCGCTTTTCCTTGTTGCTGGATTTGAACTTACTGAATGGGTTGATATCCTTTTCTGAAGCCAGGTCTTCCCATTCTCCAGGCCTGTACAGAGGACAAAGATCCTGAGGTAGATCACTGTTGGGGGAGAAGTGGTGGGTGCACATGGAATGTTAAAAATAAAACCAAAAACGAAATGAAGGAAAGGCAAAAAACAAAACAGAGAAACCCAACCAAAAACCAAAACACACATATACCACAACTTAAATTATGTTTACGTGATCGCAGAATAAGAAAACAAAATCAAGAAACTGACTTCAAATTGAAACGTAAGTCAACTAAAGAAAATGGCAAAACAATGAACTATGAGAGCTGCATGTCCTCCTAGAAGCACACGGTGGATTTGGAAGTTGTACATGAATGTGGAGATGATAATATTCCTGAATTTGATGACAGAAAGGACTGAGAAGAAATATTTCAGTACCATTGTCAAAAATTCCTTCTTTTTTTTTTCATTTTTTGAGTCAGAGTCTCACTCTTGTCACCCAGCAGCACATTCACAGCACTGTAGCCTTGACTTTCTGGGCTTAGGCGATCCTTCCACCTCAGCCTTCCAAGTAGCCAGAACTACAGATGCACGCCACCACATCTGGCTAGTTTTTTTTTCTTTGTAATTTATTGCAAAGACAAGGTCTCACCAAGTTGTCCAGGTTGGTCTTGAACCCCTGGGCTCAGGCAATCCTTTTGCCTTGGTATCCCAAAGTGCCAGGATTACAGGCTGAGCCATCACACCTGGCCAAAAAAAATTTCTTTTTTTTTTTTAACGTACCAGCCAGTTCTAAATTTACAAAAAGTCTGTCTCCCCAAAGTCATTTTTATAAATCACTTGCATGAAATTTTCCAATAGAAAATAAAAGCCTGTGTAATTATTTGGCTCTGATAAATGCTTTAAAAAGCCTCTGATACATGCTTTAAAAGCATTCGTTGAGCCCCTAGATGCTATATTCTAAAATACAATTGTGCAGGAACTTGCATACACACAATGTTCTGCCCGACATTGGCATCCTAGGTGATGTTAAAGATACTTCAATCCCAGACCCAGTAAGTTAGTATAATGTAGCACAATTTCCCTATTGAAATTCAAAACTTAACTTGGCATATTCAAGATTGTAAGAAGTTCTGCTGCCAGGGGCGGCAACTCACGCTTGTAATCCCAGGTCTTGTGGGGCAGAGGCAAGAGGTTCGAGACCAGCCTGGGCAATTTGGCAAGACCTTGTCTCTACAATAAATTAAAAAATTAGCTGGGCATAGTGGTGCACGTCTATAGTTCCAACGACTTGGGAGGCTGAGGCAGAAGGATTGCCTGAGCCAAGCAGGTTGAGGCTGCGGTGGCTGTGAGTGTGTGCACTGCACCCCAGCCTGGACGACAGAGTGACACTCTTACTCAAAAAAAAAAAAAAAGTCCTGCCACAGAGAAACCCAGCTCTCTACATATTAATTAATAAGCAAAACTTTCTTCTATAAACTTCCAAGCCTTTCTCATCTCTTCCTTCCCTACCTAGTTTAACCCTCACCAAAAGACACCTTCAACTGCATTCCAATTAGCCTCCTAAATTACTTTATCCATCCCCTCTGTTCTTGTTCTTCTACCTAATCCAAGCTGCCAGCTCCCTAGTAGGGAATCAATTTAACCACCTACTTCTTTTTCACTGCAGCTGACGAGAATTGCTGGGGCAAAGTATGTAATGGTGTCAAATGTCTATGTTGGTAATAAATGTAGTCTAGGCTTAGCCAGGCAGCTTGTAATGATCAATAATCCCTTCAGTTGTACCCTTCCTCTACACACACACACACACACACACACACACACACACACACTACAGAAATTGAAAGTGAGCATGGAGAGGTTCCACACACACCCACTTTAAAAAACTAATAGCACATCACAGCTTGATGATTTGTGCTAACTGTTATATCATTAAACGTTTAGTAGTCATGACATTTGAAACAATGTAAAATTTTTGAACAATGGATGACGTTTTGAAGGCAACAGAAAGTTTATTTTACACTGACTCCTCTCACACATTCTTGTTCTTTAAATTAAAAAAACTTTATACACCAGCATCAAAAGCAGGAATCAATGTGCAACCCTGAAATAATTTCAGCAAATTAGGACCCAATTCTTAACTCTCTTCTCTTCCTGCAGTAACAGTCATCACCCCTGTATTCTAGATTATTAAACGTAATCTCACATTAACAGGAAAAGTTTTAAAGATGTACCTTCCCTTTCTATTATTAAGCAGAATAATTAATATCCTAGGCTGAAGATGTGCAATAATATCACTCCAGGGGAAGCCATCTTCCAGTAAGAAATGACCCTATTTGTTTGGTCATCCACACTCAAACTATATTTTGGCCTATTCTTAACTTTTTTCCTCTTGTTGCAGAGAACCCAATATTCGTTTCTTCTGCTCAATACTAGCCCTTTTGCTTCCTCTTCTCCTCGTCATAGATTCCAAGGCAGTTTGGACACTCCCTCACATGGGTTCTCATGGAATGCTGTGAGTATTGCTATGCTTACACGCCCTTTAATTAACACTTTTTTCCTGAAGGCTCCTCGTGGGCAGGGCCATGACCCACTTATCTTCATATCCTTGGCACAAAAGAGGCATGCACCAAGATGCCTTAGAACCTTCATTTCACATGGATTAACAAGATTCCCAAGGAATGATACACAGTTCAGATATAAACTGAAAGTTCAGATAATAACAGCCTACACATATCAAGCACCAGGTTATTTTCTAATGTGTTTAGTTCTTACATCAGTCCATTATAAACTAAAAAATACTATTTTCAGCTGGGTGTGATGGTTCACATCTGTAATCCCAGCACTTTGGGAAGTTGAGATGGGTGGATTGCTTGATCCCAGGAGTTTGAGACCAGCCTGGGTAATGTCATCTCTACAAAAAATTAGCTAGGTGTGGTGGTGCGAGCCTGTAATCCCAGCTATTTAGGATACTGAGGTGGAAGGATTGCCTAAGCCCAGGAAACAGAGGCACTGTGAGCCGTGATCGTCGTGACCATGCCACTGCACTCTTTTCTTTTCTTTTTTCTTTTTGAGTCAGGGACTCCTCTGTTGCCTAGGCTGGAGTGCAGTGACACTATCACAGCTCACTGCAGCCTTGATCTCCTGGGCTCAGGTGATCCTCCTCAGTCTTGTGGGTAGCTGGGACTACAGGTGCACTACCACACCTAGCTAATTTTTTGGACTTTTTTGTAGAGAGTGGCCTTGCTATATTGCCCAAGCTGGTCTCCAACTTCTGGGCTCAAGCGATCCTTCCATCTTGGCCTCCCAAAGTGCTGGGATTACAGGCGAGAGCCATGGTGCCTAGCCAAGAATACTACTTACTCTGTTTTATAGGTGAAAAAATTGAGGCACAAGATCGAATAACTCATTTATGTCATGGAGTTCTAAGAGGCACAGCCAGAGAAACCCAGGGTGACTCCAGACCTAATCATCACATAGTACTGCCTTACCACACATCTCCTAAAACTCTCACTTGAACACATCTGGCAGAATTTGGAAACTACTTCGAGGCTCATGTCTGGGGGTAACGTCAGTAACTTCAGTGGCTTGGAACTGAGTAAGGGCTGAGTGGACCTCATGCTAAAGACTGCAGGAGTCCAGCAGAACCTGCAGGTATAGAGCCCCAGTGATTTGGAGCCTGGGTTAATTCCCTAGTTACCACCCCTTCTTATCATGAGTCCCAAGGGCTCGTCCCTTTTGTACTGTGAGATCCCCTGCTTTCCCTCTACCATCCTATCATGGAGGGTTTTTAAAGATTTCTACAGCTGGCATTGATGGAGAAATAGACACAGTGGCAAAAGATTATTGCTATAAATTAACCAGTTACCTGAGCTTTCTTCACGGGAAGCTTCCCACTCTCCCTTTTTAAAACAATAAGCCCAGTATTACAAGGCAAAAGTAATTAGGACTACAGCAATATTCATTTGTATTTCAGAGAAAAAAAACAAGCCAGCATTGCTCCCTCTTCACCGTGAGATGTGGCTACTACACTGTCCACTTAGACCTCTCTCCATGCAGGTGAGGGAGGAGAGGAGTCAGGGAGATGGCCTTTCCTACAGTTCAAAGAAAGGTGAATGTAACTTTCCTGAATTAAACTCAGAAGGAAACATTATTCACTTATTGATAAGTGAACTAAAATTCTTTTTAAAAAATGCCATTTCTTATTTCGTACATTAAGAACATGCACTGCTTTTCAGACAAATAAGCCAAATAAATAGCATTTTTATATGCTAGCTTCTTTGCTTTTCTCCTTTAATTTTTATAGGTTCAGTTTCCCCTCTCATTGCCTTTATCATTTCCATTTCTTCTCATTTTTCTACTTTTTTTTTTTGTGTGTGAGTTGGAATCTCATTCTGTCGCCCAGGCTGGAGTGCAGTGGCATGCTCATGGCCACCCCAACATTGACCTGCTAGGCTCCGGCAATCCTTCCATCTCAGTCTTCCACGTAGCCAGAACTACAGAAGTGTGCTACCATGCCTGACTATTTATTTGTTTATTTATTTATTTATTTACTGTGGAGACAAGGTCTCACTAAGTTGTCTGGACTGGTCTCGAACCCGCGGGCTCAGGCAAATCACTTGCTTCGGCCTCCCAAAGTGCTGGGATTACAGGCTGAGCCACCGAGCACAGGCTCAATTTTTTCTACTGTTTATATTTAGTGCACAAATCTTCCACCTTCACATTCACTTCTAAACAATCACTCGGTCCCGCAAATGCCTTCTTTTTTACCTGCATTTAATTCTCTCAACACCCTTTTTTCTCCCCCCTGGTAAACAAAGACATGTCCCTTACGATGGCAAGGCATCTTTGATCTTCATGTGAGAAATGTCATTGTAGAGGGCAATGGAAACCACCTCTTCCATGGGGCAGATGAGGCCATACTCCTCACACCCATTTTCGATGACCAGGGGATCGGACTTGTGCGGGTCAAACATGATGTTGTTAGGAGTGACAATCATAACACCTCCAACCACACCCTGCAGAAGAGAGTGATAAGACAGAGTTACTTCAGGCATAAACGCTTTCAGCCACCACCACAGAAACGTTCCTTAACTCACACTGCCATTCTGCTGACCGTGAGCCACAGTATCCTATGTGACAATGACATCCCCTTCACGAGGGCTGGGACAACAGGCTGCAAGATGCATTGTGCAGGGCTGGGCAGGAGGCCCAGAGAAAATAGACTTGCCTCCCTGAGGCAATTAACCGAGCCTGGTTCTAGACGGCTGCCACAGCGGTGTAACTGTGGTGTGATCCTGATTCACACTTACAAGTCTCAGATTTCCTAGTTCTCTGTCTGTAAAATGAGAGGGGCTGTCCCTAATGCTATCTTGACTGAGAACACGGGGCTTTCCAATTCACTTAGCAAGTCATCACTGTGTATCTGACAAGTGCATGATATTGTACCAAAGGGCAGTTGTCTCAGAGCCAAGGTGCCAAAGAATAGTCCCGATACTTTTCTCTAAGATGTTTAGAAAGCCCACGTCCAACAAAATTCCACATCAACAGGAATATGAAATTTCTGCAGCTAGAGTGAATATAGCTGAATGACAGATATTAAAAGCAAAATGTAGTAGCTTGGCGAGACCTTAAAAATCTGAAGCTTGTCAGAGTACATTATAGACCTTCATGGCCACACGGACAGCAGGACACAGATGACTTCCTCCAGGCAAATAATTTACTCTGGTACTCTTAATAAGTCTAGCGATCATCTCAGTGAAATGTTTTGCAGACCCAGCAATCCCATTACTGGGTACATATCCAAAGAAATGAAGTTAGTATGTTGAAGAGGCATCTGCACTGCCCTGTTTAGTGAAGCACTATTTACAACAAATGAAATCAGCCTAAGTGTCCCTCAGTAGCTGAATGAATAAAAGAAACGTGAAACACTCCTCCCCACACACGATTACTATTCAGCCGCAAAGAAGAATGAAATCCCGTAATTTGCGATAACATGCATGAACACGTAAGGCACTAAGTGAAATAAGCCAGACACAGAAAGATAAACACTGCGTGTTCTCACTCATGTGGAATCTAAAAAAGCTGATCTCACAGAAGCAGAGAACGGAACGGTGGTTACCAGAGGCTTGGGTGGTTGGGGAGGAGAAGGAGAAGGGGAGATGCTAGTCAGAGGATATAAAATTATAGTTAGATAGGAGGGATAAAAAACGTCCGGTATAGGCAGATGGAAAGTAGGGGACTGCCTGGGGCTGGAGGCCTATGGGGAGGAAAGGACAGGTGGAGGCGGGAGGGAAAGAAATGGGAATGACCACTAAGGGTTATGGAGTTTCGTTTTCGGGTGACAAAAATGTTCTAAAATTGTAGTGACGGAAGCACAGCTCTGTGAACAAACTAAGCCACTGGACCAAACACTTTAAATGGGTGAATTAGACGATATGTGAATTACATCTCAACAAAGCTGTTTTTTTAAAAAAAAGATTTTGTACTGCAGTGTTACTTAGTCTTGTTTGCAAAAGGTATAAATGCTCATCAACATGTATTTTCTATTATTATTATTATTATTATTTTTTTTTGAGTTGGAGTCTCACTCTGTCGCCCAGACCGGAGCGCAGTGGCCGCTCCCGGCCACCGCCGCCTCGACCCGCTGGGCTCCGGCGATCCTTCCGCCTCAGCCTTCCAAGGAGCTGGAACTACAGGCGCGTGCTACCACGCCCAGCTAATTTTTGATTTATTGTAGCGATGAGGTCTCGCCAAGTTGCCCAGGCGGGTCTCAAACCCACGGACTCAGGCAATCCACTCACCTCAGCTACCCAAAGCGCAGGATTACAGGCTGAGCCACTGAGCCTGGCTATTATTATTATTTTTGAGTCAGAATCTCACTCTGTCACCCAGACTGGAGTGCAGTGGCAGCTCACAGCCACCCCAGCGTCAACCTGCTGGGCTTAGGTGATCCTTCCACCTCAGCCTTCCAAGTAGCCAGAACTACAGGTGCACACTACCATGTCTGGCTAATTTTTGAAATATTGTAGAGGTGAGGTCTCGCCAAGTTGCCCGGGCTGGTCTCGAACTTGCAGGCTCAGGCTATCCACTTGCCTAGGCCTCCCAGAGTGCTGGGATTACAGGCTGAGCCAATGGCCCAGCCATATTTTCCTGTTATTTGGAGACTGATATGAAGTCTCTGCTATGACCACAGGAATTAATTTGGTATCAACATAGACACTTCTTCAGAGGGTCACTAAGAGTTAGATTTGTTCTTTGTAAAAACAAAACAACAAACCACCAACCAAAAAACTAAAAACATGACACAGAAGACATTAATACTAGCACTGTAAACAGCAAATGCAGGTTGAGAGTTTAACATGTTCCGATGGTACTAAACTCTGAATAAAAATTATTTTTTTTAATTATCACACCCTATTAGTTAAATTTTTTAATTGTTTCTATTGTATAGATTAGGAAAATGGAACCTAAGGCAATTTAAATACTGTACCCATAGCCTCAGAGCTAGTGGGTGGTAGAGTTGGAATTTAAATTCAGTGAGTCAGGTTCTAGCTTTTGCTGTTAAACATATACTACACTGTCTCCCTAACAATTTATAGGCCATGAACTGAAAGAAATTCCAAGGTCACAAAGGATCACATTTCCACATTTCCACTCAGTGATCATATTTCCCTCAGAAAATAAAATGTTAAACATCCAACAGAGGAAAACCAATGGACACCTACAAAATCGAAAATTGACACTTCGGGTAAGGTATTTTAATGTAGCCTCCCTTCCAGGAATTTGTAACGTCGTTTAGTTTTTCATAGATTCCACGAAAAGGAAACAAATGTCATTTCTATATACCTTTCCATCAGTGAAGTATCGACAATTCATTTTTAAAAATTTCACCACGCCTGGCTCATCTTCTTCAGAAGTAGATGATAAGACTCTTTCGATGGGTTTCAAGGCCTTTCGTGCTAAGTCAGCATCCTTGTGAAAGCAAAAATTTCCAAAATCAAATAAAAGCACTTTTTCAAACAAATTATGTACAAAGTCACATAAATTCCCTGTAAGCATTCTGTTTCCATTTAACTTGAACACAGAAAAGGCAAATGTCCTTTGTCCTTCAAAAATATCACAAATATAATAACAGGTATCCGTACCAAAATAAGATTAAGAAAAACAAAGGCATATGTATGAGCCCATGAAAATGCCTCATGAAATGTCATTAGAAACTAATCTAAATGACAGAATTCATATGAAACTTACGATCCAAATTGTCTTTAAAAATAGGAAGAATCATCTGTGTATCTCATTTGAGCATTTAACTTCACATTTATACACAAGACATGTGTTTTTGCCTTTGAGACTTTAAAGGTAAATAGGTTTCTCTTAGAGAAGATGCATTCTCCAATAACTAACCACGTGGGGGAGAACTGCAGGCATAACCTTGTGAAAAATAACACGTGGAAGCCTACAAATCACACCAAAAAACACCCTTTTTGATAAAAATGAGCATCAGTGCATGAAACGCATAACATACATACAGGCAGTTTATCATATTCTGCATCTGATGATGAAGGAGAGACAGCAGCACCAGGACTGGATGATGACAGCCGTATCGTACTGGAAGGAAAGTTGGCATCTGGCACAAAAAGGACCTGAGAAGGGGACAGGTGAGATGGGTGTGTGCCAAGAACCAGGCAAATCAAGAGCCAGCGTGCAGAGAAGTCATTCTCCGTGCAGTATCACGTTTGGTACACGACTAAGACCTAGTTTGCGTTCACGGAACTCATAAGCAACTTGGTGTTCCAGACTAATCCACGAAATGATACTCAGCAGTACGAACGTGTGCAGAGCACAGGGTATGGAACGCACCTGTAAACACTGCGGGAACTCCAAACAGGGAAGAGCAAGGCGGGTGAGTACTCCAGGGAGTCTAGAAGCAAGTGGGTCCAAGAGAAGCTTTGAAGGATAAGTAGAAGTTGGAGGAGGGAAGGGAGAGCCCTCCAGGGAAGGGGACTAATAATACCAGGGAAATGAGAAGAGAGAAGCTCGGCATGCTTCCCAACTTAATGCCGTGTCAGGTAGAAACAGAACAAATGCAGGCTTGTCAACTCCAAGCAGACTCTGAGTTCTAAAGTAGCAAGGTCTTTATTTGATAATCTGTATAAGGTAATATTAGCACAATAATCCCAATACTTTCTCATTCATCAGTATGTGAGTTATCAAAAACCTGCCCCCAGTTATACAAAATAGACTCATGCAAAAATCCTTGTTCTCAAAATGTTGTGATCCTGTCATTTAGTCTTTTCACGAAACACACTACAATTAGACATAGATGAAATATCCTAAAAGGATGACCTTCAATGTTATAAAACAGAATTCTGAGCTAATCATGTAACAACTGATTACTGATCACGGTTGTTATTCACTGTCTCCCATCCTTCCAGTCATTCTTCTGTTTTAACTTTAAAACTAAGCCTCACTACAATCCAGAAAATATTTGAGACAACAGTGAAAGACATATTAACATAAAGGTGAGAATATCAAAGTCAAGAGAATATAAGATGGGGACTGATTATTACTAAAAATATGTGCACTAAAATTACTAAATGCTCATTGAAAAGTCGACCATAAAATCGACTGAGTTTCCACATCATCATGCAAAGAGACAGATATGATTAACGAGCAGAATTCAATTTCCACAAGACAAAAACAAACCAGTTTCTCAGAAGCACACGTATTTGCCCAAGAAGTCTCATAAAAAGGAGTGCTCCAGACAAAACTATTTGTTCTAAATGACACACTCACAATAAATACAATGACCAGTTTTGGAGGACTGTTCTTTATAACATCGTCAATACAGGTCAATGGCAAATTTTAGAGTTCTGTAACAGTAGTTTACAAAGTACTAAAATTATGTGGTCTTGGTATACAGCTCTTATTTATCTTACACAACCAAACCAAAGGAATGAATGGACAGCATTTCCCCCAAACAATTCTCAACTAATATTATTTTCTTGCACCTGAACTCTTGAAAAGTATTAGGCAATACAGGATGAGACTCTCTTGTCTGATACATTCTAAATGTTGAATCAAAGGGATAACGCCCATGCTTCAACAGTTAACTGCACTGGAGAGAGGTGAGCAGTCCCAGAACATGGGAATCTCCACATGGACGTGATCCTGGATCACGGGTAGGGATGGAGTTTTCCTACTGCCTTCAGAAAATGACTTTGGGTTTGCTATAACACCTAGGCCTATGGGGATCTGAGGTCCTAAAATTCTTTACCATAAAGCAAAGCTGCCATTTTAGCCTAGAAAAAAATTGCAAGCACGTGCAGCCAAGGTGTCCTGTGAACATGAAAATACCTTAAAGTAAATATCCACAGCATAACTGTTGAGTGTGCTCAAGATAAATTACTTGGAAAAGGACATTTTTTTGTGCATCACTTCAAATTGTATTTAAGAACTGAGAACTAACAGACAAACTCGGAACCTTCTGAAAAACATTTGAAGTCTTAGTTGTTTTTAAGTTTGTCTGATCTTGTTTTTTATCTGTTGAAGCACAGAGTCTGGAATAAGACTTTAGCTCAACAAGCTCTCAGGTAACCTCCTCTGAAAATCACTCTTATATGTAGTCACTGATCCAGTCAGACCAATTTTCTATTCGAGGTAATCACCAAGTCAGTTTCTAGAAGGACGGGTCTCAAATTTTCTGGAACCGGAGTAGATCAAACTGAATTTGATTGATTATAATTACCGAGGTAAGAGGAATTCCTAATCCTCCTGGCACCAAGCAGACAGGATCTCTCTCTCTCTATATATATAGAGAGAGAGAGAGGTGAAGTCTCACTCCGTTGCCCAGGCTGGAGTGCCGTGGCACACTCACAGCTACCCCAGTGTAGACTTGCTGGGCTCCGGCAATCCTCCCACCTCAGTCTTCCAAGTAGCCAGAACTACAGGTGTGCATGACCACATCCAGCTATTTATTTTTTTTTTAATTGTAGAGATGAGATCTCACCAAGTCACCCAGGCTGGTCTTAAACCTGTGGACTCAGGTACCGCCCCCACCTCAGCCTCCTAAAGTGCTTGGGATTATAGGCTTGAGCCGCTGCGCCCGGCCCAGCCAGAATATTTAAACATCCTTGAAAGCAAAAGGTTACCTATAGTTTTTGAATGTCCCTGAATCTATTTCACTCTTCTCGATTTCTTATCTTTTACCATAAAAAACCATGAAAGCAGATGGGTCCTGGACAACTAGAAGTGTATAGTTACTTAGCTGCATAAAGGCTGAATGCCACAGAAAGGCTGGGAGAGACATCTGAGGTTATATGGTCCAACCCCTAATTTCAGAGATTAGAGGACTGAGATACAAAATCAAAGTGACTTGCCCAGGTTATACATTTAATTCAAGGCCGAATGAAAGCAAAGTACTGGGGCTCCTATTTCTGTTATTTTCGTCATTACTGTAGGTAGATTAAAACAGCCCTTATATTCCTATTGGCTGCTGAACCTCAATCTAGTATTGATCAGCTATCTTGTTTATGAGCATAGTATAAGAAATCACCCTAAGTTATTTCACTAAGTTCCATCACCTAAAGTCTTTGGCCTTTCATTAGTAAATTTAAGCCTAGGCTCTCCACTATGGGGCAGTTACGAACTATGTTTGCAATAGCCCAAATTATAAGATAAGCCCAACAATGAAAGAGATTAAAATCTGTCTGTTAGTTTTTCTAGAAAAGAAAATTTATTAAACTTTTAAAAGTTTTAATGCAGACTTCTCCTTCCCCTTCTCCCCCTGTCCCACCCTACTCCTTACCTGGTATTGATAGTACACTAATTTCTTCTTTTAACAAGAACAAAACACCAAAAATACTATTGTACTAACTGGTTAATGTAGGATCCTCTTGGCTCACGTACTGCTCTTGAAAGAAACGCAAAGAACAATACCATCACTGCCTGAATGTAGGTGTGATAAAAAGCAGTATTATCTATTCTGAAAGAATTAGCCGGGCTCAGTGGCTCAGCCCGTAATCCCGTGCCTTGGGAGGCTGAGGTGAGTGGATTGCCTGAGCCCACGGGTTCGAGACCCACCTGGGCAACTTGGTGAGACCTCATCTCTACAATAAATCAAAAAAGGTTAGCCGGGCGTGGTAGCACATGCCTGTAGTTCCAGCTACTTGGAAGGCTGAAGTGGAAGGATTGCTGGAGCCCAGCAGGTCAAGCCTGTGGTGGCCAGGAGCGGCCACTGCACTCCAGTCTGGGCGACAGAGTGAGACTCCAACTCAAAAAACAAAGGAAAAAAAAAAAAGAATTAGATGTCCCTATACTGCAGAGATGCAGAAAGATGCTCCAGTAAGGGAGCAATGGAACCCAATGTACTCATGGCAACCAAGTACTTCTATAGATAAGCCTGGATGCTTGGCTTCAGTTAAGCTTCTTCACTAAGTGAGCCATGAAAGTTTACTTGCTGAAAACAGTTTAAAGTGGAGATACAAGAATATCTCATCAAATAGAAGGCACCAAAAAAAGAATACTGGATTAAACTAGAGTGGCAAAATCACACAATCATTTTCATTCAATTGAACAAAGTCAAGTCATGGGTCGCTTAACAATAGAAATACGTTTTGAGAAATGTGTCGTTAGGTGATTTCATCATTGTGCAAACATTATAGAGTGTTTACACACAACTCACACAAACCTAGATGGCAGACCTTACTACACACCTAGGCTATATAGCAAACCTGTACAGTATGCTTCTATACTGAGTAGTGCAGGTGACAGTAACACAATGATAATTGTGTATCTAATCATAAAAAGGTACAGTAAAAATACAGTACTATAATCTTATGGGATCACCATGCCTAGAGTAAAATCCCGGGAAAAAAATTAGGGTGGCCTTTTGTTGACAGTCCTGCTGAGTGTCTCTGTCTTTGGCCAGGTTGACCATTCTTGTCATTGTATCAAATTGAGATAAAAATGACAAAAATTCTGCCCAAATTAAAATAAAACGACGGTCACAATGTACCCCAGAGGAGTGGACTAAATTGAAACTTGCAATTTTTAATTAAATAGTCTAAGAATATCTGTGATGTATGCAACAGGGGGAAAAAAGTCAAATTAATTTAGAATTTCTCTTGATGTCCTAGGAAATACCTACTACATAAACTAACAATAGTTATAATAAGCTATGCTAATCATTTGCAAAATATTCATCTCTGAACAGTTCATAATTCAGAATTCTCAGATCTAAAGAAGAGGAAAAACTGAGTTAACACATATTATCATCGATGATAATCCTGTGACAATTAACAGTGAGGCATTAAAATGGCAGTAAACGATATATACAAAATGTCTAAGGTCAAATTCAATAAGAAAATAATTACCTGGCCTGGAACAATAGTATGTGTGAAAAGTTTATTCAGTTCCACTAATTTATTGGGAGTGATGTTAAACTTCAGTGCTATGGAGTTTAGGGTGTCCTGGCTTCCAGCCTAGAATAATCAAACAAGCAAGAGTCAATACGTGAAGCAAAATAATTTTTTTTGATAGACAACATGAATATATTTATTATATGAGTAAATGAAAAAGTAACAGTTCTATCCAGATGAACTATGAAAAAGAGTGCATTCGTTCTAAATTCTTAATAAAATCACATAAAAGCAAACCGCAAATGCAAATCATTTCTGGACTCCTTCATCTTCTAATTTCACTGTCCACTAATTTTACTCAGGTGTGTGGGACAGAGACACAACCTAGGTGTAAAGACCCATAAGGCATAATATAAAACTATTAAAAAAAAAGATGATATATAGACAGCGCTCACCCACAGGAGAAGCGGACTAACTTCTTTCCTATAATGTTCTATTTGCCTGTGTTTTCCTAATTACTGTTACTAGCTGTTTCCCATTCCCTGTTACTAGCTGTTTCCCATTCCCCACCCCGGGCTCAGCAAAGAGCCTGTCACATGGGGGACACTCAGATAGTTGGCGAATGAATACTGTGGACGGCAAGGACATCTGAAAGAAATTCAGATTAGCTATCAATAATTGTTCACTGCTATTAAAATGACAATTTTTATGTCAAATTGGCGTTATTCTCTAAACCTATAAAACTTGTGCCATATGTCCTAGGCGTACACTTTTCTTTCCTTCTATATTAGAGGAGGAATAGGAATAGAGAGCAGTAAGAAGACGAGACACTTCACAGTAGCACAGCTCTACCCAGAAAGAAGTTGGCTGTCTGCGGTCTTGTCAAAATCCCAGGACGAACTCTCTGTCCAGAGTCCCCAGATGAACTTTCTAGTGGGAGGTCACCCTGGTGAATGTCACTGTGAAGTTCCCATCAATTGCCCTCGGTCAAGACTAGTAGCTAACTATGAGCAAAAGTGGATCCCCCAGGTGAACCTCAAATTATGCGGAGATTTGAGGAGACTGAAGGGAGATACGGACTAGTGAAATGGTAGCGACACAGAAGTAGAATTGAACCCATAACTGCCCTCAGTGGCAAAAGCCCACTTGCTAGATGAACTGCTCACACTAGTCATCACTGAAACAGCCTCAAAGCCTTTCTAGAACAAATCAGAAAACAGTATACCTAGGATATTTTTACATATATAAAATGTATATATATACATTTTAAGCACTGAAAACGTAAGTAAACAACATATACCCCTACCTCTACCCAAGGCAAAAATCATCTCTACTAAAAACAAACAAAAAAAGTTAAAACAGTATTTTTTTCAACACTGTATTAGATATTTTTATAATATATTCAAGCCCAGAAGTTCTCAGAGTTTAGAGTTAGTATAAGACAGAGATGGAAAAATCCAGACTCTAGAGCCAGACTGCTGGATTTGAATTGCAGATCTGCCTTTGCTAGCTGTATGACACGTGGGGCATTTTCTTAACTTCTGTGTCTCAGTTTCCTTATTCATCAAATAGAGATAATCCTAATATCTGCTTTATAGCACTGACTTCACAGTAAGTGATCAATGAATTTGCTTCATATTTTTGTGAGTAAAGCTTGTAAACGATACTGTGAACAGGAGGTTCAGGGAGGGAGAAAAACTTTACAATCTGCAGTTATTACAAGGATTAGATATACTTAGAGTTTTAGATCAAGGATGTTGGTATCATTAAATGCTTGAAAGTAATCCAGAATGCTTGGTCATCCACAGCTCAAGAGCAATATAAGCAATCCAGTAAAAGCTAGCAGATTCTCTAAACATGAAGCTATAGGAGTTACCTTTTATTTCCAAGGACAAGAACAAAAATAGTTTGCCAATTAAAACTAGTCTCTGCTGGGCTCGGGGGCTCAGCCTGCCATCTCAGCACTTTGGGAGGCCAAGGCAAGAGGACTGCCTGAGCCCATGGGTTCAAGACCAGCACGGGCAACTTGGCGAGACCTGTCTCTACAATAAGTTAAAAGTTATGGTAGCACATGCCTATAGTTCCAGTTACTTGGAAGGCTGAGGTGGAAGGATCGCCGGAGCCCAGCAGGTTGATGCTGAGGTGGCCATGAGCATGCCACTGCACTCCAGCCTGGGTGACAGAGTGAGACTCCAGCTCAAAAAAAATAAAAAATAAAAATAAGTAAATAAAAATAAATCTCCAAAACATATAAATCAAACAAGTGGGCATACCTGCACCACTGATTTGATCACTTGTTTATATCTATTAACTAATTTGGAAGTAGATCTTTACTGTCACTGCATTGTTCAGTACATCCTATGTGAAGTAACTCCTAGCAAAAGTACTTCTCAATTACTTGGAGGGGCTTGTGAAATCACATTGCTGGATGAATACACAAGGAACTTAAGGACTATGGTTTTAGAATATTGTTATTAACAATAAATAATTTAACCCAATCCACCTTGAGTGCCTATTTTGAAGTAAGGTCTGTGCTAGGTGTTCCAAAGATCAACAACATACTTTGGACAGTGGTAATGTAATCACCCCAAATCCTTTCTAAAAATGGCTGGGCCTCTAAACTCCTGAAAGATGCCTTGGAGATGTTCACAGAGCATTGAGCATGGAATGGCTAAGTCAGGAATCTTCAATGTGACTCTGCAGAGGCTTGGAGAAGATCTACCATTCCAAAAGAAACACCAGAGAAGGATCTGGTCTTGAGGCTTGCCTTATACAGGGCCCGGCATGGCATGCAAATAATGAGTATAACATAAATACACAATAGGAAAACACAACCGCACAAAGGCAATAACACTTAATTTTTTCTTAGAAGTCAAAGAGAACACTCCTCAACAGTGATATTTCCTAGTGCATTAAAACAGATCAATAACTGAGTGCCCACCTTGTGCCACATCTAGCATACATAAGATACAATTCCTGGCCACCAGGAGCTCATGGTATAGTGAGAAAGATGAGCCCATGACATACAGTGTGAAGTTGTCATAATGGACACATGTACAGCAGTATTTGTTGTTGTTGTTGTTGTTGAGTTGGAGTCTCACTCTTGTTGTCCAGGCTGGAGTGCAGCGGCAAACTCATGGCCACCGCAGCCTCACCCTGCTGGACTCAGGCTATCCTTCTACCTCAGCTCTGGAACTATAGATGCACACCACCACGCCCATCTAGTTTTTTTGCGTGTATGTATGATTTATTGTAGAGACGAGGTCTCACCAAGTTGCCCAGGCTGGTCTCGAACCCCCGGACAGGCAATCCTCTTGCCTCGGCCTCCCAAAGTGCTGGGATGACAGGTCGGGCCACCATGCCCGGTCTGCCCAGCTTGATTCAACTACTGATTCAGCGATATGAAGGCCTACTCACTGCCAGGAGCCAGGAATATAATGGCAAACAAAGGGGTCCAGTCTCTCTCCTTGGATACATAAATTAAGGCATAAGATAGTTATGAACATAAGAATCATGTGAATAAATCAATAAGGCTGCACTGAGATAAGTTACATAAAGAAAAGGATTCTATGAGAGTGAAAAACAAAGGGATTTGGCCTAGACTTGCTGGCTGGTCACCGAAGGGAAGGATGAACATGGAAAGTGAGAGGAAGTAGATGTTAAGGATAAGGATCTAGCTTGCACAAATGTATGAATGATGGAGATACTGAAAAAAGAACCAAACATGGAGAACTCTGTGGATATGCTGAGTAGGCAACTGAATATATGGCCTTGGACCTTAATAAAGGACGTTAGGGATGGAGACCTAAAATTGGAAGTCCCTGTCATATCAAAGATGATTTAAGTCATTGGCCTCTTTGGAAGTTCCAGCAGGGAAGTGCAGTTAATAGAAGAGTTTAAGAGAAAAACATCTTCCTTTATTGTCCCAGCTTCGGGAGAACACGCATGGAACAGTGAGGGAGAAGTGGACACCCGCCAAGCCTGCCAGATAGGCCTAAGCATTGCTCGTGATCAACAGGGTGACAAACGCTGTAGTCAGATGACCGTCACATTCTTGAGTCACTGGTTTACATGAGATTGACCAGGAAAAATATATGGAGGGAAAAGAAGTGAGCTAGACCCCATCTCAAGAAGCATCATTATTTAATGGGTACACAAAAAGAATGCAGCCCAGGGATAGTATGTAAGCCTAGTAGCATTAACAAGTGTTCATACCACCTTGTTTATACTTACCGTGTATTCCATCGTACCATGGGGCTTCTGAACCACCATCTTCTTCTCTTTTTTATCATGTGTTCTGTTCTGATTGTCTTCTGAAGAATAAATTGTACATAAATGGATTATTACTTTTTAGGAATTGAAGATGGTAAATCTATAGTATATGATAATTCACTTTAAAATTGACTAAAAAGAGATACTATAGGAAAATGAACTAAGGGCACAAATAAACCATACTCATAAACGAACACTTAAATGATGACTATTAACCATAATTAACTATAATTAGATATACAAATAAAAACAATGTGGTAATTTTGCAGTTATTTATGATAATATGTAATGATTATGAAGTTAGAGACTTGACAAAAATGATGCATAATGTAAATCAGTACTGCCCATTTAGGAAGCGATTTGGCAATATGTAGCAATAGCCATAAAAATGTTCATTCTGACTCAGTAATCCCTCTCCTAGGAATTTATGCTAACGACAAATTCAAAGGAAGAAAAAAGCTGCATGTCAGCATATGGTTACTGCAATACTATTTTATAATAATGAAAACTTAGAAAGACCTATATGTCCAAAAACATACTAAGCTGGAACATAGGTTTTGCTGTTTTTACTGGTCAAAAACCATCAGCCATTGGCAGCTACATATGATTCAACCTAACTGTTATGGTCAAATGCATCTTGATATATTAATTCAGATATCAAAAGTCATAGGACTATATTACAACAGATAAAAATGTAAGTGACTAAAAGAATATAAGTTGAATTAACCACGAAGAGATGCTCCAATTTGTACATGATCAAAAAATTCAGATGAAACCAGGTATCATTTCACACCTGTTAGCCTCACAAAATCAGAAAGCTGGGTAATCCTCATGTCAGGAGAAATGTGAACTGCTACTAGGAACATAAGCTGGTTCAGTCATTCCAGAACATTAAATATATTTAGATCATATGACCCAGCAATCTAACACACAGCTGCCCATTCTCTCCCAAGAAGTCTACACTGTATGTATGCATACCCTAAGCGACCTGCCCAAGAATGATCATCGCAGTGGTATCTGTGGCAGTAGGGTGCTGAAGGGAGAAATAAAATGGGGCAGCTAAGCTCTGGGATTCCTGATAGTAACTAGAAATAACACGCCCAAAGTATACCCAGCAACAAGTTTCCATCAAGAGAAACAGAATGGGATGTACAGAAAAGTATCATTCATGTACATCTAAAACAGACAGACATAGGTCAGGCATGGTGGCTCATGCCTGTGATCCTAGCACTTTGGGAGGCTGAGGTGGGAGAAGCACTTGAGGCCAGAGTTTGAGACCAGCCTGAACAACATAGCGAGACTCTGTCTCTTAAAAAAAAAAAAAAAAAAAAAAAGCAAAAAACAACAACAAAAAAAAACCAGATGGACACAAAGCAACCATAAACATTTTTCAAGGGCACATAAAAATAAAAGCCTATATAAACACAATAGAATGGTGTGATGTGGGGAGAGAAACTGAAGCCCAAAATGAGAATAAAGTGAATGACTAAATAAATAACATGAAGCCCAGCTTGGACTGGTAATGATAGGGCATGATCTGAAAAAGGTGATTAACTCAACTTCCACATCTGAGGTCCCACAAACACAAACACACACACACACACACACACACACACACACACACACACACACAACACACACACACATACACACACATACACACACACACACACACACACACACAGAGAAATGTATCAACAATATCATTTCATCTATATTACAAACATGGGAGTACTAGATAAAAATGAAAAGGTAACATAGAAAAATTAAAATAGCTAATTCCTCTAGGATTTACCTGACTTTTAAATATATCTTTTATATTATTTAAAATTTTAAACCAACAGAAAAAATTTTTTAAATAGAAGACACCATTAGAGTTCTGCTCTAGTCATCTATACGTTCAAATCAGATCCTTTCATGGATCAAAGAGACCCGGAAAATTCCTCTAGACTATAAAAAATGACCTCCCTATTTTCCCACAGCCACATCTAAATTACTTATGTACATTAAAACAGATAGACATAGGCCAGGCATGGTGGCTCATGCCTGTGATCCTAGTACTTTGGGAAGCTGAGATGAAAGAATCACTGGAGACCAGGAGTTTAAAAGACCAGCCTGAATAACACAGTGAGATTCCATCTCTGTTAAAAAAAGCAAAAAAAAAACAAACAAAAAAACCCAGATAGACACAAAACAACCATAAACATTTTTCAAGGGCTCATAAAAATAAAACACAATAGAATAGTGTGACGTGAGGAAACTGAAATTACTAAATTACTTCAGCAAGATGGGACCAATAACTGCAGTTTTCAAATCTCTAGATGAGGAGAGTCTACACAGTCTATTGAAAAAACCCAATCATAATATTTTACAAATCTTATGGTACAACAAGTGTAAAAACTGGTTTCCACAGTTCTTGTCAGGTAAGCAATCAATTGTAAGAACATTCTTCCTTCTTTTCTTCTAAAGAATATGAAAAATGTTTAGGTTGCTTTTGCTCTGTTCATATGGAAGATGGATACTCCAGGTTAACATACCAACACATTCTTCCAGTGGTTCCTTTTTGGCATTAGGATAAATGTTCCCTCCTTTTAATACCTTCTCTCCACGTTCTTTGTTGCATGCTTCTAACCCTTCTCGCTGTCATCACAAGCGGCTGTCATTTCAGCTTCGCCTGCTTTTGGAATAGTCTCTGTATCTTTTCGTAAGTGCTTCCTGTTTCTAGAGCCCACAGCATGCTTCCTTGTTCCCATATGTGGCAGCATCTGGTCCATGCCCTTTGCTAAACTGGATATAATTATCTCTGGTTCCAGTGGGGAGCACCACGATAAGCCACCAACGCGTGAGAGTTTATACACTGCCCAGCTGCAAGAGAAAATGTGTGCCGGCTGGAGCTTTCAGGATAAATTTAACTATGAATACTGAGTCTGCACAAAAATTTTCTTACCATCCATTGGCACAGGTGAGTAGGCTAGAAAAATGTCAAGCATGACATCTTAATGAAGAAAAAAAAAAAAGCCTTTCCTTCAGAGTTTAAGATTTGGGGATTCTGGAGGGAAAGATCGTGATGTACCCTTTGAATGTCTTGTGCCTTGATGACACCTTGCATATGAGGGAGGACCAAAAAAACCACAGAATTACCTTTGGGAGGGCAGCCCCTTGCAGTCAGGCTTCCCCCGCGAGGTAAGTGCTCTAGGAACCCATCGGTTTTTATCTGGAAGCTTTGGGAAGGTGGTGTCATGATTTGTGGAAGAAATGTCCCAAGCTGTGGCGAATAGGTGACTGGTTTTCCACCACGACAACACATCTGTCCACAATGCACTGAATGTTCAGCAGTTTTGACCAAGATGGCATGACCCCTGTGCCCCACCCTCCCTGTTTGCCTGACCTTGCCCCAAACACCTTATTTTTGTTTGTTTGTTTCCCTGGATGAAAAGTCCTCAAAGGGAAAGGTTTTGCTGAAGTGGAAGAGGTGAAACCAAAAAAAACGACAGAAGCACGAAAAGGCGCCAAACCCTGTTTTGAGCAGTGAGAAAAGCATCTCAATGAGTGCATTGCATCAAAGAGAGAGTACCTCAAAGGTGACTAAAGTTTAGACATGCAAGAATACATAATGTTTTACAAATAAATTTCATCTTTTGGGGGGTCCCTCCTCTCTTCATACATGGTTGAATAAATGTCCTGGTATAGATCAAAGAGTCTGACGTGTCTGACTATGGTCAACACTTTTCACTGATCTAACTTAACCCTGGGAAAATCATATGCATCTGTCCAAGCCACAAATCAAACACAAAGTTTTACAGTTGGCTTGATACAGAAAGCAGAGAAGTAGGCCGGGCATGATGGCTCACACTTGTAATCACAGCATTTTAGAAGGCCTAGGTGGGAGGATCGCTCGAGCCCAGGAGTAAGAGACCAGCCTTGGCAACATGGCGAGATCTCATCTCTACAAAAACATTTACAAGTTAGCCAACATGGTAGTGCATGTCCGTAGCAGGCACAGCTGCTTGTGAGACTGAGCCAGAAGGATCCCCTGAGCCCAGGAGGTTGAGGCTGCAGTGAGCCACAATTGTATCGTGCCACCACTGTACCTCAGCCTGGACAGCAGAGTGAGATTTCAAACAAAAAAAGAAGAAGAAGAAGAAGAAAAGCTAGCAGAGAAGTAGTTGGCAAATTCTAAAGTTCTAATTTGTCTTTGTATCATTATAGTCCAAGGTAAGGTTTCCTATTGTTTCCTTAGTATTTTTTGCAGCGAGTTGTAAAGATACTCAACCATGTGTCTCAATACATGAAGTCCTCATGTCTGGCCAAGGCAGGTTCTGCAGCTAATAGTCTACAAAGTACAGGAGAAGTTTCTGGCCCTGGAGAGAGCTAGGAAGAGAGACAAGTTACCACATAAAAGGTCAGGTCGGCGATGGGGCTCCTACTTTCGCATTTTAGGCGAGGACTCTTGACTATCCTCAAGGAAGCAACTGTCAGCACCAATTCTAGCTTCAGGTCTCCCCATGACCTTCATAGCCACCCAAATTCTGACCTACCCATGTTTACAGGAACCTCAGGCAAATGTTGTAAAAGTATCTACTGCCAGAGGGGAAAGTTCGTACAAGTTTCTCAGAAACCATTCGGGATAAAGTAAGAACTGCCTGCCTCTGAAATGAAGTCTTCAGAGCCAGTTTTTCTCAGTTCCATAAGAAAGTACCTGTGAAGACATTGGTAGGATCCCTAAAAGAATGAACCACAGACCCTTTAGCCTAGCCCATCTCATTCTGCATAAATCCTGAAGGTGGGAGTTGGAATTTGACACCTGTGTTGACCTCAATCCCAGTGGATCTTGGCTCTTGGCTCCCGCATCTGAAAAGATTCCAGATACAAGTTTACTGAAAGAAGACTCCTCCTCCTCCAGGCACTGGGGCTCTATCCAGCACTATGCCTGGGGCTTGCAGGGGCATGACAGCACTTGTGCAGGAATCCTTTGTAGTGGGGATCTCTAAAGTCTTGAGTGAGGTTATTTTAGAGAAGGAATTTTAGGAGGAGTTCTGAG